GGTGCCTGGGTGAGCTGGGGGGCCGTTGGGATAGGAGGGCTGGGAGCGGGATGGGGGATGTTGTGGGGCTGTGGGTGGGTGGATAGTGGGGAGCTATGCCTGGGTTGGGGGGCTGGTGCCTGGGTGAGCTGGGGGGCTGTTGGGACAGGGGGGCTGGGAGCGGGATTGGAACATAAGAACGGCCGTACTGGGTCAGACCAATGGTCCATCTAGCCCAGTATCCTGTCTACCGACAATGGCCAATGCCAGGTGCCCCAGAGGGAGCGAACCTAACAGGTAATGATCAAGTGATCTCTCTCCTGCCATCCATGTCCACCCTCTGACAAACAGAGTCTAGGGACACCATTCCTTACCCATCTTGGCTAATAGCCATTAATGGACTTAACCTCCATGAATTTATCCAGTTCTCTTTTAAACACTGTTATAGTTCTAGCCTTCACAACCTCCTCAGGCAAGGAGTTCCACAGGTTGACTGTGCGCCGTGTGAAGAAGAACTTCCTTTTATTTGTTTTAAACCTGCTGCCTATTAATTTCATTTGGTGGCCCCTAGTTCTTGTATTATGAGAATAAGTAAATAACTTTTCCTTATCCACTTTCTCCACATCACTCATGATTTTATATACCTCTATCATATCCCCCCTTAGTCTCCTCTTTTCCAAGCTGAAAAGTCCTAGCCTCTTTAATCGCTCCTCATATGGGACCCGTTCCAAACCCCTAATCATTTTAGTTGCCCTTCTCTGAACCTTTTCTAGTGCCAGTATATCTTTTTTGAGATGAGGAGACCACATCTGTACGCAGTATTCAAGATGTGGGCGTACCATTGATTTATATAAGGGCAATAATATATTCTCCATCTTATTCCCTATCCCCTTTTTAATGATTCCTAACATCCTGTTTGCTTTTTTGACTGCCTCTGCACACTGTGTGGATGTCTTCAGAGAACTATCCACGATGACTCCAAGATCTTTTTCCTGATTTGTTGTAGCTAAATTAGCCCCCATCATATTGTATGTATAGTTGGGGTTATTTTTTCCAATGTGCATTACTTTACATTTATCCACATTAAATTTCATTTGCCATTTTGTTGCCCAATCACTTAGTTTTGTGAGATCTTTTTGAAGTTCTTCACAGTCTGCTTTGGTCCTAACTATCTTGAGCAGTTTAGTATCATCTGCAAACTTTGCCACCTCACTTTTTACCCCTTTCTCCAGATCGTTTATGAATAAGTTGAATAGGATTGGTCCTAGGACAGACCCTTGGGGAACACCACTAGTTACCCCTCTCCATTCTGAGAATTTACCATTTATTCCTACCCTTTGTTCCCTGTCTTTTAACCAGTTCATGGGGGATGTTGTGGGGCTGTGGGTGGGGAGCTGTGCCTGGGTTGGGGGGCCGGTGCCTGGGCGAGCTGGGGGGGCGTTGGGACAGGGGGACTGGGAGTGGGAGGCAGTGCCCAGGATGGGGGATGTTGTGGGGCTGTGGGTGGGTGGATAGTGGGAAGCTGTGCCTGGGTTGGGGGGCTGGTGCCTGGGCGAGCTGGGGGGCCGTAGGGACATGGGGGCTGGGAGCGGGAGGCAGTGCCCGGGATGGGGGGGAGGGGGAGTGTCAGTATTGTTTATAGCAAAGTGCCTCAGTACAGGGAGCCTGCTGGGTTTAACCGGCTACCATGAGGGGAACTGGGTACTTCAAGGTAGTTGCAAGACGGAGCTGGGGTCTGGGGGCCTTGCTGAGGACTGGGTGCCAGGTGGGTTGAGGGAGTCCCAGCAGGGGTGTGGGCATTGCTTGTGGTAGTGTTCACTCAGTGCTGCCTGGGCCTTGCCTGGCTGAGCTTGCCTCTATGCAGTGCCAGTGCCACAGAATAACCCTTTGGGCCCCACCTTGCCCCGTGCTGGGTCTGTGCTTTCCTTGAGGTTAGTAACCTTATGTTTCTGTAGCACTGTCCATCCCCATGGATCACAAACCAGAAATGCAGCCACATATGGGGGAGGGCCTGGCACCAGTTTCACAGCACCACTGATCAAAACTTTAGAAGGAATTGGGGTAGGGCTAGAAAGTAGTTACCTAAGTTAGGATTGGGATAGGACACCAGAGCTTTGGTCTTTTCTCTTTAAGAATGCACCCACTGCACCTCTTGAGTGGACCAGAGGGAAGATTGTCCGCCACCACCACTTCCTACAGCGTCTAGATGTTTCTCAGAGATCTCTCATCACAATACCAAACAAGCCAAATCCTATTTATCTTGTAAGATTCAATGTGATCACAGTCTGCAGTGGTGTGGCTGGAATTCTTATCTCACAGTGAGCCTGAGTTTGTCCTACCTGACCTATGCTTTTCCAGGTTTTCTTGCACGTGTGCGCACACACTCTGCACCATCCTTAGTTTCTTTTGCAAATTGCCTCACTGTGTGGTTCAGTTATTTGGTGTTGTTTCTTCCTTTGGGTTAAGAGCAGCCATTCTGTCAATTCTTTGCCAATTTCTAAGCTGTGTATCCTATTGAGAAAGTGCTTGAGAGAGCTCAGAGCTCCTGCGTGCCAGCCTGGGCCTGCTTGATTTATGTGGAAAGCTCCAACAGAGCTATTGAAAACCACATAATACAGAGCCTGCACTGCTAGAAGTTTATCGTGCACCATTGATAACAATTGCTGTTAGTAAGATCTCTCAGCAGCATTGGACACAGTGACCCATGGCATTCTCTTTTTCAGACAGAAGTCAATTCTTGGTCCTTCAGGCCTGTCCCTGGCTTGATCTGAATCTTTGTTGTCTAAATGTTTCCTGTTGCTTTCACAAAGTCATTGGAGCTCAGAATCTGTTTTATTCTGTGGTGATGTCTCTCAGACACCTGTTTCAGATCCTCACTTGGGGTTGTGTTGACATGTTCCTGTTTAGTCCCCATTATATGGAAATATGCAAGCCACCTTTCCATTAATACACGGACAATATTCAGTTATACATCACCTCACACTCAGATGATCAAGGTACACGTCTGTCTTTGTCTTGTAGTTTGTGTAGCATTAAGCAATCATTGGTGCATGATTTTATTAAAGCCATCCATAATAAACCCAATGTTTTCCTGATAGTATCCAAGTCTTTGCAGAGAGTCACTTTTGTAATCTCATTTGATAATGCCATTATGACTCCATTTTAAAGTATTAAAAGTCTGGAGCATCAGATTTATCAATGGGCCTACATCTGCAGTTAATATTGCATTTTGCCATTTGAGGAATACCTGCAGGCTGTGACTGTTGCTCAGGGCAAGTGAACTACTGTTGTTAAATGCTCTTTGTCTATCTTGATTAGATTTGATATTTTTGTTTTTTGGGACTGCAGCCTATCCCCTGTCTCCTCAGCATACACGTGACACAGGTCACACACATTATCCCAACTGTACAGTCCTGAGTCTGACTTCCTGTTAGGATATCTCCATATATATTATCTCCTAGAACTGGAAGGGACCCCAAAAAGTCATTGAGTCTAGCCCCCTGCCTTCACTATCAGGACCAAGTACTGATTTTGCCCCAGAATCCCTAAGTGGCCCCCTCAAGGACTGAACTCTCAACCCTGGATTTAGCAGGCCAATGCTCAAACCACTGAGCTATCCCTCCCCCTGAGGGTTTAATTTTCAAATACATTTAAAATTCTTCTTTTCACAGCTCAGTTCCCTAGGGGAGCAGCTTCAGTCTAATTGGTCAGTATTAATTTGTTCTGTGTTCTGAGCATTAGCCTGCCTTCTCAATCAGCAGAATATTTAGACTGCTTTTGAGATGGATGATGAGAGCTATATCCCTTGCCTGTGGAGTATGTTTCCGGCTAACAATCCACAGTTCTTTTAAATATGGCAATTGATGAAGTAGATTTAAAGAATGCCGTATTTGGTGCCATACATCATTATTCTGCATCCCTGAAGCTGTACAATGCACAGCACTTGCTCGGAGAAGTTTTTGGGAGGCAGCTTTTTAAGATGAATTTTGTACCAAACTCCAGGTTCTGCTGACTCATCTTACAGCATTTCTCTCCTTGCCCATCTGTCTGGTTTGTATTGTTCTCTTTCTTTTTCTAACTCTCCTCCCTTTTTATCTGTGACTAGGTATCTGCATCTTTCCTATGAAGTATTTTCTACCCAATCATCTTGCAAGAGGCAAGTTAAAACAACCACATCAGAGTATAGATTTATTGGAATCAAGTGTCATATGAGAAAGATTTTTAAGAGGTTTTTAAGGTCAGGCTTGACAAAGCCCTGGCTGGGATGATTTAGTTGGGGATTGATCCTGCTTTGACCAGGGGGTTGGACTAGATGACCTCCTGAGGTCCCTTCCAACCCTGATATTCTATGAAAGATGCCCAGTGCAAACTTCTGGTTGTCATAATATGCAGCCTCTCTGAGAAAGTTATAAGGGTGCTAGGAGGTAGAGGGACACAGAGGAAGCTAAGTCTAGAACGTGTATGAGATGAGTTCTCTAGAGAATAAGTATGTTTCCCTTCGTTTCTTTCTGGGTTGAGGTGAGGGAGATGATGTGGGATACTGGAAGAAAGCCTTAAGGCGGGACTGTAGTGCAGCATAGGCTTTCTCCAACTACCTTGTTTTTCCCTGCCCCTACTCTGCTTGGACAAGAGAACAATCTGTCATGAGTTTCCCTACTAGTCATATCCTCACCCCTTTGTTGTAGGGAGCTTGTTGTCTGTTGGTAGTGCCAACTGGGGACTTTCTGAGAATTGCCTAGTACGTTATACCACGTCCAGGGATTTTCAGAGGCTGGAGCTATTCATTGTTTGGGGGCTTCAGCCATGTGGTTTCTTTTCTTGTGTTGCTTTTTTCTTCCTCCTCATTTTTATTCTGTGTGCAACACACTCTGCTTTCCCTCCATAAAGCAAAGGAAGCGGAGCTTTTGAATAGGAGAATTAATTCTATTTGGAGTGTAGCAGTCTTCTAGATTTGCTGCTTCCCAGAGCAGGAGCCTTTTGAACAGAGTATTGTGAGCTTCTCTGCTGATTGCCTTTGCGCTTTAGCCTCCCCTTCCGTCACTGCTTTATTTGAAGACATTTCTCCAGTGAGGTACCTGCGCATAGTAAATTGATCTTTGATTAGTTTTGACGAGGCTCTTATCTCCCCACAAGAAATTGTAAATCATTGTGCAGTCGCGGAGTGTGTTGTAAGAGACTAGTAACTGTCTGATAATAATAATCACACATAACATATCAACCTGTGCTGCTTCCCGAGAGTTTCAAAGTTGAGATCTTACTGGATATAGCTGAACTTCCCTTAACTCTGCAAAACTTCA